TTCCAAATGTCCTATTTGTCACAAAAAAGCTGTTCGTGAAATCCATAGAGTGGTTTGGGGGTTGCTTTCCATTTTTCCAACCCAAACGCCCTTTTTTGACAAAGTTTAATGCATTTTTGACTTTAACTCCCAACCTAGGTGTGCTAATTACTTGCCGTCTGTCCCCATGGGTCCTATTTGTCACAAGTAAGCTGCCCATCACATCCATAGGATGGTTCAGGGGCTGTTTTTCATTTTTGTAACTCCCTGAAATTCACACTATAGTACACCAAGACAGTATGATCATTTAATCCGAAAAAGTCATCTTTCTCATTGAACTAAGAGGTAAATGATTACAATTTAATAAATACATTCCCACAATATCCGAAGTATCTGTTCCAGTTCAATAAACTAGATGACTTAACAAAACATAAGCCCCTAGGGCGTACAATGTCACAAGATACATTTACAAGTCTGGTTACAAAAGTCCCAATTTAAAACAACCAACACCCTCTTGACTTCTACCATCCCCAAAATGAGCTAATGCTTGGACCAGTCCATCAACGAGGTTGTCCTTCGTCAATTCCTGAAAAATAAATTAGGGTTAAGCTATTTGCCCAGTAGGAACACATTTAACCAAGTATTTAACCCTTTGAAAAAGATTATGGCATCCATGTGACAAACTTTACAACAAAATTTAGATTCGTGGTTAGTCTTAAACAAACCACAAGGAACCATGATATTCTAACACAAACAATAACACATCATAACTTCACGTATAACAAATAAACATTCACAACCATGAAACATCAAACCATGCATTCATCTACAAGAGTCCAATTGAGAACACCCATCACTTTTATTTTTGGAAACCACACCCCACATTTACCGACTATTATACGACAGAAAGTGGGCACCTAAAGGAAAATCATCCGTTTTTCCATTTTTGCCGGCTATTATACGGCGGGACTATGTGGACACCCCAAAACATTTTCCCCACATTTGTCTAGCGATAAGCCTAGACAGGGCATTTGGGCACCTTTTTGAACTCCCTACGCGGGTACCAACGCCACACCACACTTACCCAAGACCAACTCACACTTGGACTCATGCACAATTAACAAATACATCACATTTTGATCCTACTAACAAACTTCAACATCACCATAGATGAACACATATAAATTTCAAGGAATAATAATTTCCATCTTTCCATTGTTCACAATATGTCATGAGCTAAGAGAAATTCCATTCCATGTAGTGATTTCTACTCAATTTGGGTATTTAGAGTTTTACCTAATTTGGGGTTTTTTTTTCTTTATCACCAATCTAGGTTTTAATAACATTTACATTTCATGTTTAAAAGAAGGGATTGAGAAATTTGAAAGCAAATGTTAGGCAAAATGGTTTAAAGTGTGAAATAAGGGTTTTAATCCAACAAAATCCTCAAATTAGTTCTCAAACCACACAATACCATGAACCCCATCAATAAAGAATAAATACAAGGGTAAAAGTATCCCTACCTCAACAATCAAGCAAAAATCCAAGCTCCTACAAGAATCTTTCGCAAACCCACAATCCAATCGGCTGATAATGACAATCTTCAAATGTTCTACACTCCTAGCAAGAGATTTAGGTTGGATCTCAAGGATATGAGAGGTATTTTATAGTGGAAATTTAGGGTTTCAGAGAGAAATGAAGAGGAGATAGAGGATAGAAAAAGAGAAATGAGAAAATGATCTAGAATCATTAAATTTAAAAAGCTGATATCGCGACCGTCGCTCGAGCGGAGAAAGAGAAACCTCAGAAATTTTGCAGTGCTGCAGTGAAACTATTGGAAGCTCGTATTCCACGCTTGAGCAAGGCTTTCCTCGCTCGAGCGAGCACGCCTGCAATTCAGCAAGATTCTGGGAGCATCGATTTTATGCTTTAGCGACGGTTTCCTCGCTCGAGCGACCCTAGAAACAAAATGTCACAATATCTCCCCCTTAAGAAATTTTGCCCCGAAATTAACCTCTGTCTCTCACCTGATATAACATATGGCGATCTCAATAAATGCATACATATACATTCTAGTTTTCTACCATCTCCATTGTACCACTCATCAATCTTTAACAATTCTACCCGTAAATATCATATATATATATATATATATCTCCACTTGAACATAGGAGCTAACAACGGGGAACAATAGAAAATTTGGCGTACTTCCAATACAACAACAATTCAAAGCAATACTAATACATTTGTAAATCCACTACAACATCCAATCTGGACATGATACCACCTCAAACTCAAGGTCAAAAATAAAGGAAACATTAAGAATTTGTAGCTCATGATTAATTTCATTAGATACTCAAGAAAAGCAAGGAAATTAATACATCACAAATTTGAGAATAATTCTGGATATTTCTCGCGGACTTCGGCTTCTTATTCCCATGTCGCTTCCTTCACGCCATGATGATACCACAACACTTTAACTAGAGGGATTGTCTTGCCTCTCAACACTTGTTCTCGTGTATCAAGGACTTAGATTGGCTTCTCTTCATAAGATACATCATCATTTACTTCAATTTCCGTCCCATCTAACACATGAGAGGGGTCGGGTTCATATTTACAGAGCATAGACATATGAAACACATTATGGACTCCTGAAAGCTGGGGCGGTAATGCAAGACAGTACGCCACTTCCCCAACCCGTTCGATGATATCAAAGGGACCAATAAACCTTGGCGATAACTTTCCACATTGGCCAAACCTCATTAAGCCCTTTCTAGGGGAGATCTTCAAGAACACATGATCATCGACTTCAAAGGATAAGGGTCGTCTTCTCCTGTTTGCATAGCTCTTTTGCCGGCTTTGAGCGGTGACAAACCTTTTCCAAATGAGGGCAATTTTCTTGGTAGTTTCACGGACTAGGTCCAGGCCTAACAAGGGCTAATCTCCCACTTCAATCCAGTACACCGGTGATCTACACGGATGCCCATACAACGCCTCGAAAGGTGCCATTCCAATACTCGCTTGAAAACTATTATTATACGCGAATTCAACCAAGGGTAGATGCTTCTCTCATGACCCTTTAAAATCTAACGCACACACCCTTAACATATCTTCTAAAAGCTGAATAACACGTTTGGATTTCCCATTGGTTTGTGGGTGGTATGCAGTACTAAAGGTCAATTGAGTGCCCAAGGCGCTTTGAAGACTTTGCCACGACCTAGCTGTAAAGCGAGTGTCTCTGTCAGACACTATACTGACTGGTACTCCATGGAGGCGAACAATCTCCCGAACATAAAGTTCAGCTAAAAATTCTATGGAGTCCCCCATACTCATGGCAAGGAAATGAGCCGATTTACTAAGTCTATCAACAATCACCCACACCGCATCATTACTTCTTTGAGTCCTAGGGACACCAGAAACAAAATCCATGTTGATGTATTCCCACTTCCATTTGGCAACTGGAAGGGGTTGCAATAATCCAGCCAGTCTTTGGTGTTCTGCCTTAACTTGTTGACATGTTAAATACTTGGACACAAAAGAAGCTACATCCCTCTTCATACCCCTCCACCAAAATTGGCAGCCTAGATCATGATACATTTTAGTGCCCCTTGGGTGCATAGTGAGACGGGAATGATGGAAGTCCCTCAAAACTTCACTTCTCATGGATTCAGGTACAAACAGCCGGTCGAGATAGTGAACACTAGAGTCTATGTGAATATTTAGACCCCTCTCTTCCTTCCCGAGATGAATTCTCCCTTTACTGGCTTCCACTTCCAGATCACCCAGTTGTGCTTTAATTACTCTTGTAACTTCCATTCATTCATCGCTAAATTGGCTATTGTACTTATCGACTTTCTACTCACAATATCTGCTACTACATTGGCCTTACCGGGGTGACAGTGTATCTCAAAATCATAGTCCTCTAGGAACTCCATCTATCTCCATTGACGTAGGTTTAAGTCTTTCTGGGAGAATAAGTACTTGAGGCTTTTGTGGTCAGAGAAGACTTCAAATTTCTCACTATAGAGGTGGTGTCTCCACAACTTCAAAGCAAAAACAACAGCGGCGAGTTCTAGGTCATGAGTCAGGTAGTTTCTTTCATGGGTTTTCAGTTGGTGCGAGCCATATGCTACCACCCTTCCCTCTTGCATTAAAACACATCCCAATCCCTCTCTGGAGGCATCACAATACACTATATAACTTAACCCTCGTTCCGAAATGATAAGAATTGGAGCGGTGGTCAATCTAAACTTTAATTCTTGAAAAGAATTCTCATATGCTTCACTCCAAACAAACTTCATTCCTTTTCGGGTCAACCTAGTTAAGGGCGATGCTAAGGAAGAGAAATTGTTTACAAATCAGCGGTAGTAACCAGTTAAACCCAAAAAGCTACGAATTTCTAAGGCATTCTTAGGCTTCTCCCAATCTAGCGCTGTTTCTATTTTTGAAGAATCCACCATAACTCTGTCTCCCGAAACTATGTGACCCAAAAACTTCACTTCCGAAAGCCAAAATTCACACTTCTCATATTTAGCGTATAACCGGTGGTCCCTAAGAAGTTGTAAGGTAGAACGAAGGTGCTCTTCGTGCTCTTCTTCGGAAGGTGAATAGATAAGGATATCATCTACAAAGACAACCACAAATTTGTCAAGGAACTCCTGAAAAATCCTATTCATTAGATCCATGAATGTAGCTAGGGCGTTGGTCAACCCAAAAGGCATAACCAAGAACTCATAATGACCATATTGGGTACGAAAGACGGTTTTGGGAATGTCCTCTTCTCTAACTCGAATTTGGTGATAACCCAACCTTAAATCTATCTTAGAGAAACAACAAGAACCCTTAAGTTGGTCGAAGAGATCATCTATTCTAGGCAGGGGGTATTTATTCTTAACCGTAGCTTGATTCAATTTACGTTAATCTATGCACAATCTCAAGGATCCATCATTCTTCTTCGCAAACAAAGCCGAGGCTCCCCAAGGTGACGTGCTAGGGCGTATAAAGCCCTTACTAAGTAACTCCTACAACTGTTCCTTCAGAACCACTAATTCAGCTGGAGCAAACCTATACGGTGACGATGAGATAGGCGCCGTACCCGGGAGCAAGTCTATGGTGAACTCTACCTCCCTATGAGGTAGCAATTCTGTAAGATCTTCAGGAAAAATGTTGAGGTATTCATGCACTACCCTTGGGAATTCATCCCGAACTACATCACTTCCGTCCTCCCAAAGGGTTGCTAAAAGGAAATTAAATTGACCTCGGCCACATGGGTAGCATGAAGAGGGTAAGGATCTATCATACCCATCCCTCAAAAATGTGAAGCAATCGCCGCTTGCAGTACATACCGCGACCCTCTCCCGATGGCAATCTATTGTCGCCCGGTACGTGAACAACCAATCCATTCCAAGAATAACATCAAAACCCGACATTTCCAGCAATACAAAATTAACCGGAAGCTGTTGACCTGCTACCTCAATTATACACCCCTGACATTCCTGGGTTAGAATGACGTTTCCCCCTACTGGTGATTCTACTGTAAGCGAAGCCTGCAGTTGCCTGCTCTCTAGCCCCAACAATGATGTAAATGATGTGGCAATAAATGAATGCGATGCCCCAGTGTCAATCAACACCTTAGCCCAAGTATTGAAGATGAGAAATGTACCTCTCACAACTGATGGCCCCGTAGCTTGCTCAGAAGTGGTGATAGCATACACTTTTCCCTGCGATCTTTGCTCCCCTACGTCACCTCTCTGAACATAAGCTTGTTGTGTGGATTGAGCAGACGTGGCTCCCTGAACTATCCTGGATGCTTGTCCTGATTGAGCTGGCTGGTATGATTGCCTCTGCCCCTAACCTATTTGTAGACCTCCAGACTGCCTAGATCCCGCCACCTCCGGAGTCCCTACTTTCTGTAGACAAAACTTCTTTAAATGACCAGGTTGACCACATTGATAACAAGATTGTGGCTGGCTCCTATTTTGAGGTTGACCCTTTAGATACACAGGTTGGGACCGTGCTCCACCTTTCTGTCCGCGCTCCGCAGCCTTGTGACCCATTTGGCCACATCTATAACACGCACTGGTAACTCTGGTCATATTTCCCGAACTCCTGCCCGTCACATAACTAGAGGACTTAATTGGTTGTGGAGATGATTGCAAGGATGACGATGAACCCATGGACCTCTTAGAAGAGCTCGTGTCACTCCTAGCATCTAACTGTCCCATCCTTTTCAATCTTTGCCTTGCCTCTTTGGCCTCTACAGTAATCTCCACATGAGCATGTAGTTTCAACTAACGGTCATAGTCACGGATCATATTGCCAACCACCTTCATCAAGATTTTAGGTCTTAACCTTTTCTCAAATACAAGGCACTTCCTTTCTTCTGTAGCCACTAATTCGGGTGCAAAATGAGATAAGCTAGTGAATTTAGCCTCATACTCTGCCACCGGTGTATCTAACTGCAATAATTGCTCAAACTGTTTCCTCAATCTCTCCCTAGCTGTGGAAGGGAGGAATTTGTCTTGGAAAGTTTGCACGAATGCTTCCCAGGTATGTTCAACCCTATGCTTGATGGATTTCAACCACTGCCCGGCCTCCCCCTTCAGTTGGTAGGCTGCTAATGCTACTCGCAACTCATTTTCTCGGATGTCTAAAATCTCAAAAGACTTGACCACTTGCTCCAACCACTTATCAGCCTTCATCGGATCGGGCTCGCCACTGTACTCGGCAGGATTGGAACAAAAGAACGCCTTTTTCAAAAAGGAAGCTCTTGTTTCACCTTCAATAGTCCTAGCCTCTTGCTCGGCACTCAATATTTCCATGGACTCCCGTAGAGCCCTTGCCATTTCCCTAGCTAATACCCTCATTGCTTCTTTGACTGGTGGAATGGGTATGTTGTTTTGACCCAATCCTTCCTCTTGTGGAGGAATCTAAGGTTGGGTTGGGATGTTCCGGCCTCCCCAATGGGGTTTACCACGAGCTCTAGCACGCCCAGACATCTACAAGAAATAAGGACAAGGTTAAACTCAATAACAACTTTCCGCACCTAAGTGCTCCATACTCAATCCTTACACTCACTCTCCTTGTAAACTTCATAAGCCTTCACATCAAATAATCCAAACAAGTACACAAACATTCACATAGAAACACACATGAATTATCCTCCCTAGATATTAGCTAATTCCATGACAATCAAAAACCTCCAAGTGGAAAGAACAGTGATCAAGTGCCTTTCCAATAGGATTTTGATGACTGCGTCAGACAAAGCCACATCATAGGAGTTTAATCCCACATCAATATAATCACATAGGACACATAACATACAAGGGATCCTAAGCATTCCATCTTGACCTAAGGATCCTAGTGTGACACACGTCACTTCTCACGAGCCTAAAGTATTCTAGCCTATGGCTGTGATACCAATTTGTAACGCCCTGAAATTCACACTATAGTACACCAAGATAATATGATCACTTAATCGAAAAAGTCATCTTTCTCATTGAACTAAGAGTTAAATGATTACAATTTAATAAATACATTCCCACAATATCCGAAATACGTGTTCCAGTTCAATAAACTAGATGACTTAACAAAACATAAGCCCCTAGGGCGTACAACGTCACAAGATACATTTAGAAGTCCGGTTACAAAAGTCCCGATTTAAAACAACCAACACCCTCTTGACTTCTACCATTCCCAAAATGAGCTAGTGCTTGGACCAGTCCATCAACGAGGTTGTCCTTCGTCAATTCCTGAAAAATAAATTAGGGTTGAGCTATTTGCCTAGTAGGAACACATTTAACCAAGTATTTAACCCTTTGAAAAAGATTATGGCATCCATGTGACAAACTTTACAACAAAATTTATCTTCGTGGTTAACCACAAGGAACCATGATATTCTAACACAAACAATAGCACATCATAACTTCACGTATAACAAATAAACATTCACAACCACGAAACATCAAACCATGCATTCATCTACAAGAGTCCAATTGAGAACACTCATCACTTTTATTTTTGGAAACCACACCCCACATTTACCGGCTATTATACGGCAGGAAGTGGGCACCCAAAGGAAAATCATCCATTTTTCCACTTTCGCCGGTTATTATATGGCCGGACTATGTGGACACCCCAAAACATTTTCCCCACATTCGTCCAGCGATAAGCCTAGACAGGGCATTTGGGCACCTTTTTGAACTCCCCACGTGGGTACCAACGCCACACCATACTTACCCAAGACCTACTGACACTTGGACTCATGCACAATTAACAAATACATCACATTTTGATCCTGCTAAAAAACTTCAACATCACCTTAGATGAACACATAAATTTCAAGGAATAATAATTTTCATCTTTTCATTGTTCACAATATGTCATGAGCCAAGAGAAATTCCATTCCATGTAGTGATTTCTACTCAATTTGGGTATTTAGGGTTTTACCTAATTTGGGGGGTTTTTTTTCTTTATCACCAATCTAGGTTTTAATAACATTTACATTTCATGTTTAAAAGAAGGGATTGAGAAATTTGAAAGTAAATGTTAGGCAAAATGGTTTAAAGTGTGAAATAAGGGTTTTAATCCAACAAAATCCTCAAATTAGTTCTCAAACCACACAATACCATGAAACCTCATCAATAAAGAATAAGTACAAGGGTAAAAGTATCCTTACCTCAATAATCAAGCAAAAATCCAAGCTCCTACAAGAATCTTTCGCAAACCCACAATCCAATCAGCAGATAATGACAATCTTCAAATGTTTTACACTCCTAGCAAGAGAGTTAGGTTGGATCTCAAGGATATGAGAGGTATTTTATAGTGGAAATTTAGGGTTTCAGAGAGAAAGGAAGAGGAGATGGGGGATAGAAAAAGAGAAATGAGAAAATGATCTAGAATCATTAAATTTAAAAAGCTAATATCGTGACCCTCGCTCGAGCGTGACTTCCTACGCTTAAGTGACCAGACACAATTGAGAGGCCTCGCTCGAGCGACAACTTCTTCGCTCGAGCGGAGAAAGAGAAACCTCAGAAATTTTGCAGCGATGCAGTGAAACTACTGGAAGCTTGCATTCCATGCTCGAGCGAGGCTTTCCTCGCTCGAGTGAGCACGCCTACAATTCAGCAAGATTCTGGGAGCATCGATTCTATGCTCGAGTGACGGTTTCCTCACTCGAGCGACCCTGGAAACAAAATGTCACAATTTTCGCCCCGTGAACACCCTTTTTTGAGTAAGTTTAAGGCGTTTTTGACTTTAACTCCCAACCTAGGTGTGCTAATTATATGTTTTCTGTTCCCATAGGTCCTATTTGCCATGATGAAGCGTCCCATGACATTCATAGAGTGGTTCAGGGGCTATTTTGCATTTTCACCTCCGTTCGCCATTTTTCGACAAAGTTTAAGGCGTTTTCAACTCTAACTCCTAACCTAGTAGTGCTAATTATATGCTGTCTATTCCCACGTGTCCTATTTGTCATGAGGAAGCTTCTCGTGACATCTATGGAGTGGTTCGGGGATCGGTTTGCATTTTCGCCCCCTGAACGCGCTTTTTTTGACTAAGTTTATGGCATTTTCAACTCTAACTACCAACCTATGTGTGCTAATTCATGCCGTTTGTTCCCACATGTCCTATTTCTCTACTTGTGGCATACATAGAGTGGTTGAGGGGCTGTTTTACATTTTCGCCCCCCAAACGACTTTTTTCGACTAAGTTTAAGGCATTTTTTATTCTAACTCCCAATTCCTCTTTGTCCATGTAATCTCTATCGGTGGAAAGAAATAACTAAATGGAGACAATCATAAGAAATAATTATATCTTTATATCTATCTTTATAACGACTAATTTTTTCATCTAAACTTCGAGTTGATGCATCCATGTCACCCTATTTATGTGAAATGAGTACTATTTAAGTTACTCTTGGTATCCACCCAAAAAAAAAAAAAAAAAGTTACTCTTGATTATTATGGGATGCTTCTTTTTCGTCTTTTTTTTTCAAACCTCATAATTTATTGAGATCACGACAACTACCTATTGTGCATTTAATCAATTATCTTCCCTCAAAATCAATGAAACCAAACAAGACCAAGTTATAAGTGCACAATCAAAATGTGAAAAGTATGATCATGTATCAAGCCAAACAAGCCTTCTGTGTATCTCTACTATTAGTTACAGGCTATTTGTCAGGGTCCTATTTAATTAATTACATTCTTGTTGAAGGTATAGAAAGAGGAAGAGAATAGTTGACTCTGTCTTAGATTAAATTATAAGGATATATCATATATTCTTATGTGTACATACATGGATACATAATTAAATCTCTAACTGAAGACATGCACTTTTGGTTGTTTGTATGGGCCTAAACTTTCCATACAAGAATGATGAAAAAAAATAATATTTTTTCATATCTACTTGTAGTGCAGGTATGAAAGATGCATACTTCCTTGTAGAACACCAAAAAATTGGAAAACTTCCAAATACTATAATAAATGTTGAATTATTGCTTGGTAATCTGGATTGGTAAGAAGAATAACTGTCTATTATCTATATATATATATAAAAAACCCATAAAAGATTATCAAAACACGCTAGCTGGGGCATATCACCCAAAACTAAGTAAAATCGGCGTGCTGTGTTTTTCTTGTTTGTGATTGATTCTTCTTGGATTTCAAAGAGATGTTGTTTCTCTCTTTTTGGTTTATTATGCAACACTTTAAGTATAAAAAATTGGATTTCAAGGAGATGTTGTTGCTCTCTTTTTGGCCTATATACCTTCACCTATCAAATACGTCATGCTCTAAGGGGACTACGGAGCAAAACTTTTTTCACCAAAAATCATATTTATAATGCAAAAAGTGAAAACTTATTATATTCCAACTGGTTAAGTGCAATCTAGGTATACAATGTACATAATTTTAAAATAGTTGCATTTGGTGAAGAATCAGGAATAGAACATTCCATGTAGGTTAGTGGTTGGAGATAAAGAGACCCATACAAGTGAAAGGGAGGTGGTGGTAGATAGTTTGCTAACTTAAAGAGTCTAGTGGACTTAGGTTCTCATAATCTCGCTTTCCCAAACTAGTTTGACTGTAACACAACTTCCAATTTTCACATAACAATATCTGATGGCTCTGATAAAGGATTAACATGGCATGCCAAAAAAGAATTAAATATTTAATGTCCCACATGCATGAGAAAGCAAGCCAAAATATAAAACAAAGTGGTA